CGGCTTTCCGGCTAGATCCGATTTGATTCCGACATGTTTCGGATCTGCTTTTCCGATCTAATCGGTTTTGTTTTCTTTTGTTTCCGGCTGGATTTATCCGGTCTTCTTTCTCGCTTTGATCTCTTCTCCATTGTGCTTCATCCCGTTGATTCTTATGTTTCTTCTATTTTCTTTCGGATTTCTCCATTGGTTCGTGGAGTAATATCTTCGTCACTCTTACTCCTTTTGCTCAAGACGCATGGGCAAAGATGGACCTCAGGCTACATCAGTATATTGGGTGTGGCCGGTGATAGAGCTTCCACGGTCGTGGTGCTTGTCGGAGAGATTTAGAAGTGGTTTTGGTGATTTCGACGGATCTTTAGACTGAAGTTGAGATCGGCAGAAGGGAGGTGGATATGCGGCCAATCGGAGTTGGCGGTGGCTGGTGAATTTTACATGTGATGCTCAATGAATGGATGCGTGGATGTGAGGAGAACACGTGTGTGATCTTAAATCATAATTTTGTGTTTATTATTATCCTTAGTTTGATTATGATTTAGTTATTTTGGTTAAATTCGCTGTAATCTGTCGGGCCCTTCTGTAATCGGTCCTTTGGGCTTGTGCAATGGAAATCGGTTTGACGACAAAAAAAAAAAGAATATCCAAATAACTTTTTCTACATTTTGCTAACTTCATTGTCTATAATTTCTCATTTCTAACGAGAAAACATATTCTTAGGATACTAAAAATATTTAGTAGTTTTTTTTTGTTGACGTATTAAATAGTTTTCTCCTATTAAAACTAATACTATTTCGACTCGTCCGGCGAAATCACTTCCTGGATTATACTATCAAGATGTGCTACTACCTAGTCCACTCTGACGATATTCCACTCTATGAATGACGCCTAACCGTAATTTTATATCCGATAGATATGCCTGGAGTTATACGACCACATGTGCCTACACCGTTAAGTCAGAATATACACTTGTAAGTAACATAAAACACTCTTGAGAATCCTCGATAATGTCCAAACCAAGTATTAATTGTTTTCTAAGCCAAGTATGAAAATGGCGGATCCTGATTGTTTTGAGAGACCACTCTATCATGGTAAATGGTCAAAATAGTTTAATTTGCATTTGAGACATATGTTCGTCCTGTATTGGTAATAACTTCAAAATGTATTAATTTGCATTTGAGATCGTTAGGTTAACCCCTTTGAGTTTAGGATGATTTTTAAAAAGTGTAAATTTATATTTGTTGGAATCTTGAGAATCCCTCTATCATGATAAATGGTCAAAACAGTTTCGTTTGCATTTGAGACGTATTTCCTTCGTATTTTTGTAATAACTTTAAAATATACTAGTTTTTTTGGATTGGTAGGCTAACACCTCTGTGTTTTGAAAGATTTTGAAACATTATAAATTTCTATTTGTAGGAATCTTGAGAGACCCCTCTTATCATTGTAAATGGTCAAAATAGATTAATTTGCATTTGAGACATATTTACTTCATGTTTTGGATGTTGTTACATCATTTATTGATTGTCACATGCAAGTGTTTGTACCACAAAGAATACATATTTATCCATTGCAAATATTGTAGAGATCGGGCATTCTGCGAGAGCTAGAATCAACAGTTAGCATCTTACATAGGCATTTGCAACATGTGAACATTGATTTATAACTTGGCCTTGATCACACATATACATACACCGGTTCATTAAGCTTCGCCTGAATAACATATAGACACCGGCCTTTCCGTGCTACTCTTCCTCTCCATCTCCACTGGTAGTTGTGAAGAATGGTGTCAGAAAATTCTTATCCAACGCGGTGAACGACGTAGTGCTGCAATGGTTTGATAAGTGAGACCCAAGAAATGTAACAACACTTTCAACTCAGGATTTCATAAGCCATTCTCTTACTCTCACCTTTTGTGAAACTCTTTCAGCTTCATCTTGAACCTGCTTCCTGATGATGACGTATCCTCGTCAGATGAAGCGCCAATGCTAAAAGGAGGAGGGATGTACCGATGATCGCTCTCCTCAAAGCACTGCCCACGAATTTGGATGTGTTAGAAAAGGACACACAGATGCATAGTTCAAAAGTATTAGATTAGATCGTCGAGAGTTTACTTCAGACATGGAGTCATCAAGATCATCCCCTATAACGTCCAAAGCTTCCAACATTTTACCTGTCGAACCTCCTATTAGTAAAACCTGAAATATTAGTGCAACGGATAAGAAACCAACCCCTTGTATTATTCTCCAACTCTCGCTGATTCTTAAAGCCTTGTGTATACTACCACCGGAAATGAAGAACATAGATGCTTCATGAAGAGTATACAAAACTTACTGTGACAACAACAATGGTTGTGGTTGCAGTAAAGATGATTTGGCCGTGACCCTCTGGTAGGTCATGAAGTGATTGAAGTGCAAGTGCAAAAGCCATTGCCCCTCGAAGTCCTATCCATGTGCCAAAATGTGCACAACTTTTAATAGTGCGTAGATATAGAAATAGGCATCAGGAGACAAGAACAAAAGCGATTAACTCATCTCACCACTATACCAAAGGGCTTTTTGATGCTTCATAGGTATCTTCTGATGCTCCTGTCTAACTAAATTGACCACATATGCACATCCAAATACATTGACAGCCCTGCATGAGAAAAACGTTGCAGAACAGATAGGTAAATCCAAATGGAGAAAAACTATGATTTTAATGCAGCAATCAGCCAGGGAAAAAAAGCATTGGTAAAGGATTTTAGTCACCTAGCCACGCCAATAAACAACTGATGTCAGTCATGAAACGGAGACGCAAAAGGTAGAGTCAAGGATTAACAACACTGGCTAACACTTCATACAATCACTGACGATCAACGAAAGAGGATACAATAGAGAAAAGGATAAACCCAACATGGGACCAGCTGTGCTTCTCCATGGCAATATCAAATCCCATGTATATGAAKCTAGAAAAGCATTAATCAAATCAATATCAATCCAACAGTTTTTTAAGCGTATAAACTATTATCTAAAACATGAGATGCTGTAGATAGGACTTGCGTGAAAGTTTCTGCCAGCGAGGATATCAAGTGAAAAAAAGCAGATACAAAACTCTGTGAAGCTTCTGAGAGATTTGAGAAAGTGTAGCGCTTCATAACCTACAGTAGCACTGTATTAGGTTGCCTGAATATGTCTTGCCAGATATTAGCATCAACTAAGATGTAAACACTACAACGAGTCGGCTATTACAATTCCTGTGAAGAGTATAGACACAATGCCGGAGAGACCAACACCTTCTGCAAGCATGTATCTGACAGCACAAGCAAAATACATTAGGGGAAAGAAGTGTGCTCATAAATACGAAGAGACAGGACGAGGGGAGTGGTTTTGTTTGCTTACGAAAAATATGGGAAAAGCACAAAGAGACAACACTCCAAGTTCTGAAGACTGAGGTAGAGAGAAGAAAAATCAGATACATAACAAGATGCTTACGGAGTATTGACGATACAAATACATAGACAGAATTAAGAAAAGATGAGGTGCTTACTTCTCTGTATCCAATCCTGCATACTTAAAGAGGTGTTCTGAGTTAAGGTTTTACAATAGATAGACATGTAGCATCTAAGAAGCAAAAAGGCGAATCGAGGAAGGATATCAAAGCTGAAGTGAATCCAACCCCAACCCCTGCAGAAAAGTAGTAAGCCTGTTAGTATGTTTATATATGAGGTTAGTGAGGGACTCGGTTAGAAGTTATTGCCTTATACCATTGGCAGAAATATGTCTGGGACAAAAGAGAATAAGGAAAAATAACAGATACACATTCTGCTTCATGTCAACGAAAGCGGAAAAAACAGGTCTTACATATGTAGATGTACATGTAATTGTTTAAGATTTAAAAAAAAAAAGGTTTCCTGATCCAATGGGCAAATAATACTACAATTTCAATTCAAGTTATTGGTTATTTTGGTTGCATTAATCTTCGGAAAGATACCTAGTCTTTGGTTGATTGTTTCACTAAAAATGCCTTTAGTTGAGTACAAGGAACATTTAAGAGTTGATGAGCCTAATATGTTATAAAACTGTGAAGAATGGTCAAAAACGGAGTCAGAGCAGACAGACCTGCAGACATAGAGCCAGCAAAAGTCTCAAGAAACCTGATCACCACCGTGAGAAAACTTTCCCCAGACGAGGACTGGCGGTTTACTAAGGACATTGTTCTGCATATAATTTTTTTTTTATTGTACTTTTAACACTTCCCTTAAAAGGTATTTAAAAGGAAAAAAAATGGTATGTGGTTTACAAACCTGTACAATGATATTGCCATCTACAAGCCACACCACATACAAAGAAACCGATTCGATGGAGTTAGTGTTGTGGGTTTTTTATTTGCATAGATACCTAAAAGGAAGAGCCCAACTTTGCAGCAGATAAATAAACACTCACAGCATCGTTCAAAACTGATTCTCCAAAGACCAAAGCATACAGGTTGACGTCGGTACCCAGTTCCTGCCATCAGATTTTGTAAGAAAATGTTCATCACAATGCAGGGCATCATTTTAGGGGGAAAAAACACAATGTCTAGTAGAAAACTTGTATCGTCCAATGGCATCATCAACTAACATATTGCAGTTAGGGATCAAAGAGATAGTAATATGGAAAAGTAGAGGCACCTGGAATATAGAGAGTACAGTGACAGGGTCCGTAGCTGATATAAGTGCACCAAACATAAGACACTCGACAAATGGAAGTTTATACATGAGATACATTGAGCCGCCAAGATAACTGCAAAAGGCAGGACAACCAGATAAGGATACAAGTTAAAAAAAAAAAAAGCTATAAGAATAAGCAAGAGGCTTATGATCCCTACACTAGACCACCAGTGACAAGTGAAGCGACAAGAGTTCCGAAGATAGCAAAGGTAACAATGGCTCCGAAATTAGAAAAGAACGGTTTCTGCACACAGAAAGTCAGGCAGTAGTAAGTAGGGAAAAAGTACATATGTAATTGGAAAGGAGAAGCACTTACAGGTTGAAGACTGAAACCTGATTGGGTTCAAAGAATGATTGATGTCAAGGA